CTCCTCTTCCTCAGGCTTTGCAGAACCCCTAGAGATCAGACCTAGCCCTCCCACCTCTCGAGGGGGTTCATCGAGGGGAGGCACCGCTATCCTCCTTCTGACTGGACTGGAGCAGCGTACTGGGGGCTTGACGCCCACCAGGCACTTGGCTCCCCAGGCTGATCCTCACCCTCCCATGAGCTTGGCAGTGGTTGTCGGCTCTGAGCCCTCTGCCCCACCAGCTCCTCCCAGCCCTGCCTTTGACCCTGATCGTTTTCTCAACAGCCCCCAGAGGGGCCAGACATATGGAGGGGGGCAGGGGGTAAGCCCAGACTTCCCGGAGGCAGAGGCTGCCCACACCCCCTGTCCTGCCCTAGAGCCTGCTGCTGCCCTGGAGCCCCAGGCGGCTGCTCGGGGTCCCCCTCCACAGTCAGTAGGAGGTGGGAGGAGAGGAAACTGCTTCTTCATTCAAGATGATGACAGTGGAGAGGAGCTTAAGGTCCAGGGGCCTGCCCCACCCATACCTTCACCCCCTCCTTCACCACCCCCCTCACCTGCCCCCTCGGAGCCATCGGGCAGGGCAGGAAGAGGGGAGGCCTTGTTTGGAGGAGCTAGTGGGGCCAGCGAGCTGGAGCCGTTCAGTCTTTCATCATTCCCAGACCTTATGGGAGAACTTATCAGTGACGAAGCTCCAAGCATCCCTGCCTCCAACCCCCAGCTCTCACCTGCTCTTAGCACCATCACAGACTTCTCCCCAGAGTGGTCCTACCCAGAGGTGAGTCTCTCTCATCCCTGTCCCTCTTACCCCCTGGTATGGGGCCTAGTTCTCCTCCCAACCTCTGTTTTTCCACGGAGTGTGGCTTCTTTCCTGTTTCCATAGTCCTTCTGACTCTCCCTTCTCCCTCCCTTCCCCTTCCACGGGATTGTGTGAGTCCCCAAGTGCCCAGGGGGCTTCATTCCCTTGGCGACTTTCACAGGGAGGGAATTGGGGCAACTTAGTGCGGAGAAGAGAAAACATAGTCGGGATATGATTGCAGACTTTGGGAAGCTAAAGGCTGTCTTCATTAGTAGAGAAGTTCTGCTTTATGCTGCCCTAGTGAGGGAAAGGAGGACCTGCAGTTGGGGCCTAAAAAAGGACTTCCTCCTGATGACAGCTATCTGCAAATGAGTCGGTGGCCTTGGGTGAGGCCAGCAGACTCAGGTGGAGGGCAGGGATGTTGGGGAGGAGGGACAGGCTAGCTGACCTGACCCCAGTGGGTCCTGTCCAGTCCCTGTACCACCAAGCTCCAGCACAGGGCCTGCCACATAGAGATACTCTCTGAGAGTCTACATGAACGAATAAGTGAGTGAATGAAGACCCAGCAGAGCTCTAGCCACATGGCCTTCTGACTTCTGTCTGCAGGGTGGGGTCAAGGTGCTCATCACGGGTCCGTGGACGGAGGCCTCCGAGCATTACTCCTGTGTCTTTGACCACATCGCAGTGCCCGCGTCACTTGTCCAGCCTGGTGTCTTACGCTGCTACTGTCCTGGTATGGGGATGGGGATTCGTGGGGGAAGGGACTAACTAATGGCATTTAGGACTTCTGGAAGTACTGGGGACAAATGTGTTGAGTTGTTCCTGAGAGCACAAAGCCCTCATTCAGTCTTGAGGCTGAGTCCCACGGTCCCCCAGCAGGCAAATGAGTCTGGGCTTAGGTGTCAGAAGGTCTGGGTTCTGGCCCGAGAAATCTACTCCTTACTGGACTGGTGACCTTAGATACGTCTGCTCTTTTCTTGGGTCCTTGGCTTCCCCTCCTGTAAGGTCAGGCATTTGACCCAAGGAGTCTCTAATGTCTGTTCCAGCCTTAAAGCCAGAGTCTAGCTCTTGGAAGAATGAAAAGGGAGAGATGTTGGTCTCCTCCAACCAATCTTGGGACTAAAGGACATTGGCTTCCATCTAATACAGTAACTGTTAGCCACATGTGCCTATTGCAATCAATTAAAATTAAGTAAAATTTCAAATTCAGTTCCTCAGTCGCACTAACCACATTTTGAGTGCTCAGTAGCCACCTGGCTGGTGCTACCCTATTGAGCAGTGCAGATAAGCATTTCCATCATTGAGGAACGTTTTGTTGGATGGTGCTGGTCTAGACATCACTGCCAGGGCAACCTCCAGTGTCTGCCCTTTTGCCACCAACCTTGCCCCTTACCCTGCACTCAACAGTCAGCCTTACTGTGGGACCCCAAAGGCTCACCAGTGACATGGTGACAGCTTTGTTGTCGGTGCGTGTTCTCCCCATCTCAGCAGCCCTGTTCAGTGGTGCACAGATGGTGCATCAGGGACCAGGGCCTGATGGTTTCCTTTTCAAGGCTATAGCTGGGGCGTCGCTCTCACTAGACACCGTTGGTGAGCAGCTGGCTCTCCTTCCTCCCATCTTAGTAACAGGGTCATGATGTCTGGACACTGATTCTGGGAGACCAAGGGGTTTCTATGCCGTCAAATCATTTATAAGTATAGGTGTCTCTTGACCCTCAGCTTCCAGGCCTTGGTGCTGAGTAACAAACATCCTTAACTACAGGGTCTAGAGTCCAAGGGGTCTCTGGCCCATAGCAAGTACCGAGTTCTCACATGAATGGAATCCCTTCCCAGTTAGTGCCAAGGCCACCGAAGCCAGCAGCCTCTTGGCCCACAGCGGGGAAGCTGGGAAGCTCAATATGAAATGACCAGCTGTGGCTCTAACACAGAGGGCCAGAGAGAGCCCTTCTCACTGACCTTGCCCTCCCCAGCCCATGAGGTAGGGCTGGTGTCTTTGCAGGTGGCCGGGCGGGAGGGACCCCTTTCTGCTTCTGTGCTCTTTGAGTATCGAGCCCGCCGATTCCTGTCACTGCCTAGTACTCAGCTCGACTGGTTGTCACTAGATGGTAAGTAGCTAGCCCTCTGATCCCAAGTGTCGGGCCCCACAACCTTAGAGCACGACACTCCTAGGTCCCCTCAGCACTCAGGTGGCCACCACCTAGCCCACATTTACCAGTCATTTCTCAACTCCTGCTTCACTGGTCATTTCTAAACGCAGCAGCAAACTTCCCTTCCCTCCTCTTCCCTGTGCATCTTGGAGCCATGTTTGTCTCAGTTCTTACCCTGTCTTCTCCATCCCAAGGATGGGGTCTAGGCAAGCGAGGCCAAGAAGCAGGAACAGGGACAGGGTCTAGAGCAGCGGTTCTCAACCTGTGGGTCGCGACCCCTTTGGCGGTCGAATGACCCTTTCACAGGGGTCGCCTAAGACCATCCTGCATATCAGATATTTACATTACGATTCATAACAGTAGCAACATTACAGTTAGGAAGCAGCAACGAAAATAATTTTATGGTTGGGTCACAACATGAGGAACTGTATTTAAAGGGCCAGAAGGTTGAGAACCACTGGTCTAGAGCAATATATATATAGGACGTGCGAGTATGTACATGTATATAGACATGTATTGTTTTCCTCTCCATAAAGATAGGTATTTATTGTAGGAAATTTGGAAATTATCTAGAAAAGCACAAACTACAAATGAAAACTGCCGATATTACTACTCAGTAATATCTACCACTTTAATAGCATGCTGTACTTTCTCATACAAACACACTTTCTTATACAAACCCACAGACATGCATACATGCGTGTGTATGTGTGTATTTATTTTTTAAGTATATTTTTATTGATTTCAGAGAGGGAGAGAGAGAAACATCAAAGATGAGAATCACTGATTGGCTGCCTCCTGCAAGCCCCACAGTGGGGATCAACCCTGTAATCTAGGCATGCACCCTGACTGGGAATCGAACCATGACCTCCTGGTTCATAGGTCGATGCTCAACCCCTGAGCCGTGCTGGCTGGGCAGTGTGTATTTATTTAAATCCAGCACTGGCGTTGAGAAATTGTTTCTCTCTGCTCCTGCTTCTTTCTCAGGGTGTGCGCTTCTCTGTCTTCTCCTCCGGGTGTCTCTGTTGTTGCCTCTGGGTGTCTCAGTTCTGCTGTCACCCTGTGGTGTCTCCCTCAGGGCTCGTCCTGGCTCACCTCCCTCAGAGCTGCCCCTTCAGGGGGCTGCGTGTGGGTTGCCCCGCAGCCTACCATGGGATCTTGCCAGGTCTCCCAGGCCTGTTCTGTCTGTCCTGCTGTGACTGCCGTCCCCCCCCCCCCCCCCGCCTTCCTTTCCTGTCCCTGTTATACCATCTCTCCTCCCTCTTTCTTTCTCCTTGGACCAGGGTCTTAACTTGTCCCCCTTCTTCTCTTCCTTGTTGCTTGCTTGGTACAGTCCCCAGCTTTCCTTCGTCCTCTCTCTCCTCTCTTCACCTTGTTTATCCTTTCTGCTCTCTCTCCTCCCCGTTATACAAAGGTCTCTGCTCATCCTTCTCCACCTTCCTCCCCACCATCACTTCTGTGCCTCAGCCCCTTCTGCCTAGCATCTCAGAACATCCCTGACCTCCAGCCTGTTTCTCGATGCTTGTTTTTCCATGGCTCTGATCCCCTCCCGCCCCTCCTCCTTGTCCTTGTGTGATCTCGAGAGGGGACAGATATAGCTTGGGATGTGTGTGTGCGCGTGTGTATTTGTGCATGGGGTGAGGGGAGGAGGAGGAATGGATGGCTATCCATCTCTGTCACGTTCCCTCCCCACCATCCTCTTTGTGGACAGCTGTGGGGGGCCAGGAGGAAGGGGCGGTGCTTTTCAAATCACAGTTCCTGAGCTCTTTGGGGCTGTGGCTAACAGAGAGCAGGGACCCTGGAGTCCTTCAGCCCCAGCATGGGGGACAGAGGTAGTGTCTGGGGCAAGCGCGGACGGTGTTTCACCCAGGAGAAGGCTGAGGGAGTGTGTGTGATCTGGAGCAGCTCGGGGCTGGATACTGTGTGGGAATTCCTCCTGTCTCTGTGCCTTGAAGGACACAGTTGTGGTTCTGGATTCTGGTCCTGGGTGGATGAGTCGTGTTAAGAGCCCTCGCTTAAGGACTGAGTTTCAAAGGTGGGTGGGTAAAGGGGCTGTTGTTTTGGAGGAGAGGAAAGAATATGATTCAGTGTCTTTACCTCCCAGATCCTGGGATAGGTCTAGTTCTGTGTTAAGGGCATCACCTAGACCCTGCCCGTGAGCCTCCCATACCCTCTCCCCCTCAGACAACCAGTTCCGGATGTCCATACTGGAGCGGCTGGAGCAGATGGAGAAGCGGATGGCAGAGATCGCAGCAGCTGGGCAGGCACCTTGCCAGGGTCCTGACGGGCCTCCAATGCAGGTACTTCCATGAGGGAGCCCGGTGAGTGGAGGGAGGGTCTTCCTGCAGAAAACGGCTCTGGTGTGTGACTTCTCACTCCCGTCCCCAGCCCCTCGGCCACCCTCCTCCCTAATCCCTGACGTCACCCTGCTCCCACCCCCGCCCTGTGGCAAGAGTGGCTATTCTGGGCACCCTCTTGGCATGACAGGCTTCAGACTATTTCTGGGCTGAAGAAGGGTGGAGGTGAAGGAGAGGGTGGGGGAGGGGACCAGGAGGTTGGGGTTCAGTGCTCTGGGAGTCCTGCGTGTCTGAAGGAAGAAGACTGGGAGAGGACTCTGGGTTCTGCAGGGGAGAAGCATCTGTGGATATGGCACTAACCTGAGCTGACGTGAAGGCACAACACGGGCCAGGGCGTGTGAGATCTGGCTGCCAGAGGGTCTGCAGGAAGTTGGCTATGGGAGGAGGGGACATCCAGGAACTTGAACTGGGAGAACTGACAGGCCATCAGAGGTCTGTGTGGTGGGAACCTGGAGTGAGAAGTGCAGGAGGGGCAGTTAGAAGCTGAGAGGCCAGGTGTGGGATGGCCAAGGCCATCTCAAGCCAGAGGACCAGATGCTCAGTTCTCTGCCTAAGGTCGTGTGTATTGCAGGATGAAGGCCAGGGGCCCGGGTTCGAGGCACGGGTAGTGGTCTTGGTAGAGAGCATGATCCCACGCTCCACCTGGAGGGGTCCTGAACGTCTGGCCCACGGAAGCCCCTTCCGGGGCATGAGCCTTCTGCACCTGGCCGCTGCCCAGGGCTACGCCCGCCTCATCGAGACCCTGAGCCAGTGGCGGTGAGCAGGGGCAGCAGGGCGGGGACTGGGCAACCACTGGAACAGAAGTGTCGGGACTGAAGCCCTGCTAAGGGGGGGCTGGAGTCACTGGGAAGGAAGAGGGGCTGGAAGGTTTGTGTTGGGAGGAATTTTAATATCCCCTGAGTTACAACACTGACTTCTTGACCGCCTTACATTTATTTATTTTTCCATCACCATTTATCCTCTCTGTGCCCTCTTCCACGGCCACCCCCCCTCCCCCAATCCCGCAATCACCACACTGTTGTTCATGTCACGAGTTCCCTTTTTCTTTCTTTTTTGTTCAATCCCTCCACCCGCTCCCAACACCCCCACCCCCATCACATTTATTACTTTCTGACTGCCTCATCCCACTGACTGTAGTGCTTCTAGACAGCTGGCTTCCCAGTCCCTTCAGGTCCCTTGTCCCCACTTTGCCCACTTTTCCCCTAACTGGGCTCTGCTGTCCCTTCCCCAAACCCTCCAGAAGTGTGGAGACCGGAAGCTTGGACTTAGAGCAGGAGGTTGACCCGCTCAACGTGGATCATTTCTCTTGCACGCCTCTGGTGAGGGTGCTGGGGTCCTGAGTGCATGTGGGGCGTCGGGAGAGGGGAAGGGTGCTTTGAAGGGAGGGCCTGCAGGAGTGGGGAGGACAGGGGACTGAAGATGGGCCACCAGGAAAAGGGCCTCAGCCTCACCTCTGCCTGTCTCCCCACTCCTGTCCTTGCCCTGCCCCTCCTTAGATGTGGGCGTGTGCCCTGGGACACCTGGAAGCCGCTGTGCTCCTTTTCCGTTGGAATCGGCGGGCGCTGAGCATCCCCGACTCTCTGGGCCGCCTGCCCCTGTCTGTGGCTCACTCCCGGGGCCATGTGCGCCTTGCCCGCTGCCTTGAGGAACTGCAGAGACAGGAAGCTTCAGCTGAGCCCCCACTTGCCCTGTCGCCACCCTCCTCCAGTCCAGACACGGGTGAGGGTTACCCCTCATCTTCTTAAGAGGGGGATGTGGGTGAGACAGTAGGTCAGGGGCAGCTGAAGAGTGGGAGACAGAAAGTGTGAGAGGAGGGAAATCGAGGAGGCGGCAGGGAAGGGGAGATACTACTAGCTGAGCGCAAAGATGGGGCAGGTAGGTGACTCTAGGATGGCAGATGGCCCCTGCTGCCCTCACCCTCTCCTGCCCTCACCCTCTCTCTCCCCTTACCCTCCAGGTCTGAGCAGTGTCTCCTCGCCCTCAGAGCTGTCCGATGGCACTTTTTCTGTCACATCAGCCTATTCTAGTGCCCCAGATGGAAGTCCTCCCCCCGCTCCTCTGCCAGCCTCTGAGATTATTATGGAGATGGCCCCAGGCCAGCTCTCCTCTGGTGCCCCAGAGGCCCCCCTACTCCTCATGGACTATGAAGCCACCAACCCCAAAGGGCCCCCACCCTCACCACCTCCTCTCCCACCAGCCCTGGATGCAGGGGCTGCTCCAGAGGAAGCTTACAGCCCACCGGCTGTGGACGTGATCCCGGTACTGCTTGTGTGATGGAATTATGAGGGCTAGAAAGAGGGGTGCAGGGGTGGGGGGAGGCCGACTAGTTCATGAAACAGACTGAGTCTTGCTTCAGTTTGGGAAGGAGCAGCTATTGGCCCTCATTTTTGGACAAGCAAGGTAATCCTTTGCTTAACTTCTATCAGAGCTTAACTCAGAGTCATGAGGCATCAGAGCTTAAAAATTCTGGGGAATATCTTCAGTGAGAGCTGGATTGTAGGGGTTGCCTGTTGATCCATGAAGAGACAAGCTTCTTGGGGAACCAGAGAGATAGAGGGAAATCGGGAGGGTTGTGGAAGAGAGAGCTTGGCAAGATGGAGGTATCTGGCAATGACTTTTGGTGAGGAGGAAGCTTGTTCATAGTAAAAGCTAAGAAACTCTTGTGGGATAAATGATGGAGTAAATCTTTAGGTACAGCAGCAAGAACCGGAGGACATGCCTGCTTTAGAGAGGCTAATGGGTTAGAGAGGTCAGGGTAGCACTGTAAGTACAAAAACCTAGAGACTTCCACAAGGTAGGCTGTGTTACATGTGGCCAGCAGGAAGTGCTGCAGGCTGCAGGACTGGAGTAAAAGCAAGGCTGAAGCCATTCAATAGGGTCATGTGGTTGGTTGAGCTGGTTCTCAGAGAGCTGAAGCGGGGTGGGGTGGCAGGCATGGCCAAACCTGGGGGAAGGATGTGCTTGCATGGGCCAGACCTGGGTGGGACAGTAAGCAGTCAGCCAGGAAGGCTAAATCCTTCATTGCTCACCTTGAATCTCCATTTGGAGTATGTCCTCCCTGTCCTATGTTCTCCACAACGTCTCAACACAGGTGGAGACCCAGTAAGTACAAATGAATGAATCTGGAACAGTGGCTGAGAAAGATGGGGTGAGAAAGGACAGCATCCTGAGGCCTCACCGGGTGGGAGAGAAGGATCAAGACAGGAAGGGGACCGAGGCTACAGCTGTGTCAGGGCAGGAACATCTGTCACTGGGGACCCCCAAGGCTCACCCCGCTTCTCCATCCAGGTGGACATGATCTCACTGGCCAAGCAAATCATCGAAGCCACACCAGAGCGGATTAAACGAGAGGGCTTTGTGGGGCTGCCTGAGGCTGGAGCCTCAATGCGGGAGCGGACAGGGGCCCTGGGGCTCAGCGAGACCATGTCCTGGCTGGCCAGCTACCTGGAGAATGTGGACCATTTCCCCAGCGCCGCCCCTCCCAGGTGACCAGCTTAGGACAAAGCCTCCAGATTCTTGTTTAAGGGAAGATGGCAAGGGGAAGGCAGCTTCCCCATAGCCAGAGATCCATTCTGGCAGAGGCCCTACGGGCCTTTAGGGCATTGAAACTGGCTGAGCTCTGAAGCCATGCTCTCCAGGCCCCGTTGTTGGGGCTGTCCCTGGGCAGAAGAGGGACTTCACATGCCCCGTGACTTGTCCTCTCCCTGTCCCTGCAGCGAACCGCCCTTTGAGCGGGGACGCCCGGCGGTCCCTCCAGCACCTTCCTGGGCAGAGTTTCTCTCTGCATCTGCCAGTGGCAAGATGGAGAGTGATTTTGCCCTGCTCACGTTGTCGGATCATGAGCAGCGGGAACTGTACGAAGCAGCCCGAGTCATCCAGACGGCCTTCCGGAAGTACAAGGTCAGGAGGCTGGGAGGTCTCAGGGAAAGAATTACACAATCTTTGAGTCAGGGGAGACTGTGGACTCCCAGGACTTCGGGAGGGAGAGCAGTCATCCAAAGTGGCCTTGGGCTGAAGGCCAGGGGACCTCAGGCAAGTTGGAAGGACAGATCACATGTCTATGAGGTGGGCCTTTAGGTGCTGAGACTTCCTGCTTTCCCCTTAGGGCCGGTGGCTGAAGGAGCAGCAGGAGGTAGCAGCAGCTGTGATCCAGCGCTGTTACCGGAAGTACAAACAGGTGAGTCCCTGCTCTCTCTAAGGCATAACCAACCACTCCCCCACCCAGAGCATCCAGAATGCTGCTGGAACCCTGACTCCCTTCTCTCTCCACAAGCTGACCTGGATGGCACTTAAGGTATTAGGCATGAGATCCGGGCGTGAGGTTGTCTGTGGTGATTCAAGCCTTTCCACGAGCGTGTGGATTAGAGAAAGAGACCTGCATCAGCTGAACTTGGGGTGACCCTCAGGGGTTTGGTTTCTGTCCCTCCAATTCAGCCCGCCTCTCCTCCCCACTCCTAGTTTGCTCTCTATAAGAAGATGACGCAGGCGGCCATCCTGATCCAGAGCAAGTTCCGAAGCTACTATGAGCAGAAGCGATTTCAGCAGAGCCGCCGAGCAGCTGTGCTCATCCAGCAGCACTACCGCTCCTACCGCCGCCGGCCCACGGGCAGCCTGCCGCCCCGCAGCAAGTAGGGGTCCAGCCCCAAGCCCCCTGTGCCTGCCCACTGCATCCATGCCCATAGCCCACAGCCCCCCAACTCCCAGCTCATCGTCCTGCCCCCAGTCCTTCCTTGCTAGGGTCCCAAAGGGCTGAGGACGGGATGCCTGAGTGTTGTGTGAGTTTTCCTCATCTTTTCTTCCTTTTGCCAGAAGCTCCTTTCTCACCAAAAAACAGGACCAGGCAGCCCGGAAAATCATGAGATTCCTGCGGCGCTGCCGACACAGGTACCCATTCTTTCTCCTGCTGGATTTTGCTCAGCCACTTCCCTCACCCACCTCCCCAGATCTGCTGATCTCATCGGACTCCTTCCTTGTTTCTCTGCAGGATGAGGGAACTGAAGCAGAACCAGGAGCTGGAAGGGCTGCCCCAACCTGGACTGGCCACCTGACCTCTCCCCACCCTGAGGCCGCTCCTTGGTCTTAAGGGAGAGGGCTCTCCGGGGGAGGAGCCCCCTGTCGGCAGCTTTCCTCGTCACTTTGTTTGGAGATCTTCCTAGGTCTCTACCCTTCTCCCCCTCCGAAGTGCTGACCTCCCTCTCCCACCCGCAGCTCCTCTCCCCTCCGGGTCGTGCCCCCTCTTCCGGTCCCCGGCTCCAGAAGACCCACGCCCCACATACCTGCATCTTCAGCTGTGACCTCCGGAGCCCCGCCTGCCCCTTCTCCACAGCTCCCTCCTTGCCTGCACCCGCCTCACCCCTTTCCCGAATTGCCTTATTTTATTTGTTCGAAGCGTCTCTGAATGTATCGGCCTGGCCCCACCTCTGCCTTCGCTGCGCTCGCCCCTCGTGTTTCAGGGCTGACCGTGCCCCCACCCGACTCCGCATGTTTGCGTCCGTTTCCTCCCTTTCTGGCCCTGTCTTCCCCCTGTCACTCCAACTCTGGCCACCAGCCTCGGGGCCACAGGGGAGACTGTATATAGGAACACGTTGCGGAGTCCCACCCCATCCCCTGATGGGAGGGGGTTTGTAAATATGTAACATACAGAGTATAGTGAAGAGTCTATTTAAGGCGCCGGGGAGGGCTGCACGGCCGGGCTTGTGGTTCCCAGGCGCTGTGGGGGGCCTCCGCCGGCCCCACGAGCACTTTCTACTTGTGCATGGGCTTAGTTTCTAAGAAATGCCATTAAACATCGCTGCACCAGCCAGCCTCCGACTTCTGTCTAAGGGGGAGGGGAGGGCCGGGGCGGAGCTTCGGCAGGGGAGGCTGCCGCGCGCTCGGCCAGTTCAGTGCCTGGGCGGGACCGGTGTGAGGTTTTCCACCTCCGACGTGTTTCCGGCCTTAAAGGCATTTCGCCCTTCCCTTTAAGACGCCCCGCCCCGTCTCTGTCACTCCCAAGATGGCGGACCTACTGGGCTCCATCCTGAGCTCCATGGAAAAGCCACCCAGCCTCAGTGACCAGGAGACTCGGCGCAGGGCCCGAGGTGAGGATCCCAAATTCACATCTGCTTTTCTTCATTCGGTTCTCAGGACCGCATTCTTCCTCCTTTAGACGGTGCCGCCTCTTCCACCTTGAAAACCCCCTCAAAGGCCCCTTCATAGGCCCCCCAGAGTCCCTACAAGGTCTGCTGACCCGCCCGCTGTTCTTAGCGGACGGTGATTGGCTACCCGAAGCCTAGTGCCAGTTTCCTGCCTTTCCTGGCCTCGCAGTCCTTGTTTTCCATTCGCCAAGAGGCCCGCCTGTCCGCTGCTGGCGTGCTCTGATTGGTAGATTGCCTCCGACCCCACCCAACTTGGTGCTTCTTGGCCCGCCTTCGGGTCGCAGGAGGGCGTGTTCGGTCACTCAGCCCCTCCCAACTCCGGAGTGTCCCACGACCCATTCCCATTCTGATTGGGTCCAGGACACGCCCATCCGCAATCCTTTCACCTCTATTGGCCCTCTTAAAGGTCTGCCTATTAAAGACCTTCCTCTGGCCCACCCACCCACCTCAAGCACCTCCAATTGGTAGATGGGTCCTTTCGGTGCCCTTATGCCCCTCCTACTTGATTTAACCTCTTTCCTACCCTGCCCATCTGTAGTCTTACTTTCCCCAGTTCTCCGAGCGGGTGGTGATGTTGATTGGAGAGAAGAAAATGCCTCTGTCGGTCCGATTGGCTGTAGGCTCCCACTTGGGTTCTCTGAGTGACTTCCCTGCAGGCGGGCTCCTGAGTTCGCCCGCCAGCGTAGGGCGCGGTCGGCCTGGCGTGCAGCCGTCCCCTGGGTTGCTCGTGCTGCTGTGTGTGAAGGAGTCAGACAGAAGTGCCTTGGGAAGGACCCAGCCCCCAACCCTGCGAGACCACAGACTAGCCCCGGCCCGGCCCCCCGCTTCCCACCCGCCCTAGGGGCCAGGGCAGGCCGGATGCCTCCAGTGCGCTCAAGTGCTGCTTAATAGCGAAATATCTATTATTTACTGAACGGTTGCTAGGAGCCAGGGTACCCTCCGAAGCCCACAGTCTGAAGCATTGATGAAATGCACGTTGATTAAATGATCACACAGAAGTTTAATTATCAACTTGATAAGTACCCTGAGAGAAAAGTAGTTATGAGAGCGACCACCGAGGGGTCCTTAACCTAGTCTGTGGTGACCTGGGATCTGAAGTGAAGGATAGATGATTCAGTAAGAGAGGGGGAGCGAAGTGTTACAGGCAGATGCGTATTTGGAAGGAGGGAACATAATGGGCCCGGCAGTTGGGATTATTTCATGCTCGCCATGACTAGGTGCAGCAGCAGCAGCTGGCAGACTAGGAAGCCAAAGTTGAGTTTAGTCACTTGCCTGAGGTCACAGGGTTAATAAGTGACAGGGTTTTGAATCCAGGTGTGGCTTTTAAGCCTATGACCTTAACGATCATCATTTGCCATCTCAGATCCAGAGAGAACTCAAACCAGTTGTGGAACACTCAGTGGCCACTGGTGGTCAGAGCCCTTGATGTCAAAGAGATGAGAGCTCCTAAGCTGTCAGGGGCCACAGAGAATAACTGGATAGGAGGTGAGCAGGGTCCCTGCCTCCTAGAGCTTCTAGGATGGTAGGGGAGACAAACAGTTAAACTATATTGGTTCTCAGCACAATGTGTGTGGGCCCCAGAGGAAGAAGTGAGTAACCCTGACTCATGGCAAATCTCAAAGTTTGCAAGAGGAGGAAAAGCATTTCAAGCAGAAGGAACAACATGTGCAAAGGCATGGAGTGATTAGGAAAATGGGAAGAGGTCAGTGCAGCTAGAGCTATTTGGATGCTGTGGAAGAAATGGGCCTTAAGGACATAAAGGACTTAAAATGACAGAAGAGAGGAGAGGGGACATTAAGATGTAAGGATGGGAAGTTCCTCTACAATTGACTTTGAACACCTACACTCTCCAAGGAGAATGGTGTCAGATTAGTCATTTCAGCTTCATCTTGTCTGTAGAAGTGAGAAGTTTCGGGGGGCGGGGTTTACAAAATAAAGGTAGGAAGTTAAATAATTTCCCCTTTCCTATGTAGACAATGAGATGATAAACTCTTTAAGGCCAGGGCTTAGTCTGGTCTCCTTACCTCCGCAGGTGCCTTATAGTTCTTTGTATATTGTGGGTATTAAATGTTTGTGAATTGGTTTCCCCTGTGAGATTGGGAAGTGAGGGTAAGCATGATTCTAATCTTTGCTACTCCTCCTCTGAGCTCTTGAAGGGCAAAGCTATGTCTTAAAGAGCTTGGTGCTCCAGGGCCTAGGACAGTGCCAGGTTTAAACATCAATAAATGCTTGGTGAATAAAAAGCCCCCCCTTCCCAGCCTGATACCTCCCGGTGGACACCAGACCTCCTTTGAAGCCTTACAACCTCCCCATCCATGCCTCTGCCCTGGCCTCATGCTGCCGTTTCTCACCCCCAGAGCAGGCTGCCCGCCTGAAGAAACTACAGGAGCAAGACAAACAACAGAAAGTGGAGTTTCGTAAAAGGGTGAGAACAACTGGAGAGATCAAGGCAGCCTCAGGAAGGATTTCCAATAAGTTAGAATTAGAACTCAGTGATTTTGAAAATGCCTCAGGAGACGTGAAGCCTGGAAGCCAATGGCATGGAGGCTGGGTTAGGTGTGGGGAGGCAAAGGCCCCTTGGCCCAGCTGGGAAGAGGGAGATTGGGGCAGAGCCATCATCTCATATCTTCTCTCCCTTTCCCTCTCCCAAGATGGAGAAAGAGGTGTCCGATTTCATCCAAGACAGTGGGCAGATCAAGAAAAAGTTTCAGCCGATGAACAAGATAGAGAGAAGCATACTGTGAGTGTCTTGGGCTGGGGGAGGCAGGAAACGGGTGGCCAGGGCGGCATGAAAGGTCCAGTGTGGAAATCCACAAGAGGAGGGTGCTAGGCCCCCTCATGGCTCTACATACTCTTTCCTCTCTGTCCTCCCTCCCTTCGCAGACACGATGTGGTGGAAGTGGCCGGCCTGACATCCTTCTCCTTCGGGGAAGATGATGAATGTCGCTATGTCATGATCTTCAAAAAGGTAAAAGGCCTGAGTTCCCCACTCTCTCCCTTTCAGCCTGTGCCCCCCTGGGGAAGAGAAATGAGATGAAACATGTATATGGAGCCTTGACGCCATCATCCCTCTTCCCCAGGAGTTTGCACCCTCAGATGAAGAGCTGGACTCCTACCGTCGTGGAGAGGAGTGGGACCCCCAGAAGGCTGAGGAGAAACGGAAGCTGAAGGTGAGTTATGCCTGGCAGTCCCTGGAGCCCACCACCTGGGAGGGGTTGGGGTCAGGCCCCTGAGCACCAGTGCTCCACTTCTGCACCCCTAGGAGCTGGCCCAGCGGCAGGAGGAGGAGGCAGCTCAGCAGGGACCTGTGGTAGTGAGCCCCACCAGTGACTACAAGGACAAGTACAGCCACCTCATCGGCAAGGGGGCAGCCAAGGATGCAGCCCATATGCTACAGGCCAACAAGACCTATGGCTGTGGTGAGGCCACAGTGGGGGCTGGGGAGGGTAGGAGAGGGAAGGCTAAGGCACAGGGATCCTAGGCCCTCCCCACCCTTTCCTCTGCCCCTAGTGCCCGTGGCCAACAAGAGGGACACACGCTCCATTGAAGAGGCCATGAATGAGATCCGAGCCAAGAAGCGTCTGCGGCAGAGTGGGGAAGAGTTGCCACCTACCTCCTAGGCACCCCAGCTCTCTGGGACGGGGTAGGGAGGGACAGGCTGCTGCTATTAAAACCCATTCTGGAGCCCCACCTCTGAACCACCTGCTAACGGCCATCACTTAGGCTGGAGGAAGCAGGTGTTTGATTTGTCACTATTAGAGTTTGGATATGTATATGGTTGTGTGTGTGTGCGTGTGTGTGTGTGTGCAAGAGAGAGAGTGAATGCACAGGTGGGTATTTAATCTGTATTATTCTGTTCTCCTTCGAACTTTCTTCCCCATGGGGTTGGGGTTACTTTACATTCAATAAACACTGTTTGAACCAATGTCTTGGTTTGTTTAAACAGAATAAGAGGTGGGTCCTGGAGAGGAAGAGAAGTGATTTTAGCTTGAGCAGGATAAAACTGTTTGTGTAAGCCAAAGATAGCCAAATATTGGCACTTTCATAAGAGAGAGTATTTTAAGAGCACAATTGCTAGGGCCAGATGGCCTAGTTTTGGATCCTGGCTCTGCCAGTTACTGTTACGTTGGGTGGGGTATTTGACTTTCTTGTGCCTCAGTTTCCTTACCCATAAAATGGGGATAATAATGGTAACTATCTGAAAGGACTGTTTCAAAGATTACACAAGTCAATATATGTCAGATATTTAGAGCAGTTGCAGATCTTTGAGCTCCACAGAAGTGGTAGCTGCTCTGGTTTTCACGGTCATCTCACAAAGCACCTGATTTCGACACCACACACTCTGCAGACTGTGTACTCCAACTTACTGGCAGATCTGATCCAGCTTCCCCTCATGGTGATGTCAGACCCTCGATCCCCCCGCCTTCTCCTGGTTCTAGTTCCATGTTCTGTCAGTGCTTCCAGCTTCATTTCACATGTGGCACCTGCTTCCCCCAGCTCCTTCACAATGTGAACTTTGTTGTCCTAGATTCAGCCCAACTTCCTCAATGACTAGTCCCTTACTTCCTCTTTGTCACAGCAGGTGATACATCTATTCTCTCTTTCCTGCCCCATCTCCTGTCTTTTCCAGTCCGGAGACAGCATTCCTCCCTCCCACAAAGGAGCACGCCACTGTCTTGGTTGGCACCAGTGTTTATTTCAGGGAGAAGGACTTGAAGGCCTCCATCTATCCTGTGGGTCCTGGGGCCCCCAGCTTCTCACTTGGCCTTTGGATTGCGGAACTTGCGTCCAGCAAAGACAGCCTTGTCCCCGAGTGCCTCCTCAATCCTAGAAGGTAGACCAGGTCAGAACTGCACCCTTCTAGCCCAACAGCCCTCAGCTTCCCACACCCAGGCCCACTGCACCCACTGTACCTCATGAGCTGGTTGTACTTGGCCAGACGCTCTGAGCGGCAGGGGGCACCAGTCTTGATCTGAGGAGGGAAGAAGGATTCCAAGGGTTGCACGAGGCTAGAGAGGAGGGATTGGGCCTGGCCCTGAGGAAGTAGCCTGTGGTGCCATTCAACTCAGGGGCAGGAGGCCAGGGATCCCAAGAAAACTTGTTCTAACATGACAGAGGGGAGCCATGAGTACCTGTCCTGTGCAGAGCCCCACCACGAGGTCAGCAATGAATGTGTCTTCAGTCTCCCCAGAGCGGTGGCTCACCATCACTCCCCAGCCATTAGACTGAGCCAGTTTGCAGCTGCGTAGAGAGGATAATCCATAAGGCCTAACAGGACCTCCAGTGAGAAAGCCAGGGCTGGATGGGGCTTTTCTGTTTTGGGAAGCAGGCACTTTGTGGGAAGGGTAATGACTAAAGTTATTTGGAAACTAGAAGAAAAGGGGGGATTCCTGATCTTGAACTTGGTTCCTGAGATGCTGGTAGAAAGAAGGGCAGAATCTTGGAGAAAAGAATGGTATGGGGTGGAGGTGGGGGTAGCAGGTCACAATGGCAAAGTTCTTGGGGCCAGGCCAAGAGTTAGTCAAAGCCTTGCCCAGTTGGTGTGGCTCCATGGTTGAGCGTTGACCTATGAACCAGGAGGTCATGGTTCAATTCCCAGAGGGGCATATGCCCGGGATGTGGGCTAGATCCCCAATGGGGGGCGTGCAGGAGGCAGCCGATCAATGATTCTCATCACTGATGTTTCTATCTCTTCCTTTCCCTTCCTCTCTGCAATCAATGAAAAAATATGTGTTTTTAAAAGTTAGCCCTAACGGGTTTGGCTCAGTGGATAGAGCGTCGGCCTGCGGACTGAAGGGTGCCAGGTTCAATTCTGGTCAAGGGCATGTACCTTGGTTGCGGGCACATCCCCAGTACGGGGTGTGCAGGAGGCAGCTGATCGATGTTTCTCTCTCATCGATGTTTCTAACTCTCTATCCCTCTCCCTTCCTCTCTGTAAAAAATCAATAAAATATATTTAAAAAAAAAAGTTAGTCAAAGCCTTGAGGTCAGTCAAGAGAGTGGGGTGGGTCAGGAGCCAGGGGAAAGGTAGACTTGGAGTCTGAGGGCAGGACTGCAGCTGGAGGAGGCAGAATTGGGGTGGAGGGAGGCCATGGTGCACCCCAGGGCCAGGAGGCACTCACGCCTGGATGGATTCGGTCACCGAGCCAATCTGGTTGACCTTCAGCAGCAAGCAGTTGCAAGCCTTCTTCTCCACGGCCTGGGCAATCCTCTTGGGATTGGTGACTGTGAGGTCATCTCCTACAATCTGTATGTCCACCCCCGAGAGGAACGAGGTCCAAGTGGCCCAGTCATCCTGGTCAAAGGGGTCTTCAATGGAGACCACTGGCAGGAGATGGGGCAGAGTCAGGTTAAAGGTCTGAGGGCTTCATGAAGGGGGTGACAGGTCAGAAGAATTTGGATGGAGATTGCAATGGTGCTAAGGATTGAAGGACTGAGTTGGCAATGGAGGCTCTGAAGTCAGTGTGTTGGGCAGTTACCAGGTACTCAGGCAGGTGCGCTGAACAACTGGGGGGGGGGGGGGGCTCACCAGGATAGTTCTTAATGAAGCTCTTGTACAGCTCCCCTAGCTTCTCTCCTGTGATGTGCCGTGCGGGGTCATCGGGTGACTTGAAGTCAAGATCGTACTTCCCATTGCGATAGAACTCAGATGCCGCCACATCCATACCAATTACCACCTTGTCTGGGTAGCCAGCTGCCTGGATGGCCGTCTTCAGCAGCTCCAGGGCTGGGAGAAGGACAAGAGAAGACCTGAGGCTCCTGGGCACCCTGTCTCCACAGCCCCCTCCTCTGTGAGGACCCAGGGGTTCTGCCCTTCAGAGTGCTCACACTGACCCTCATTGTTCTCCAGGATGTTGGGGGCAAAGCCGCCCTCATCACCCACGTTGGTGGCGTCCTTCCCATACTTGGCCTTGATGACCCCCTTGAGGTGGTGGTAGACCTCCGCGCCAATGCGCATGGCTTCCTTGAAGGAGCTGGCTCCCACAGGCAGAATCATGAACTCCTGCATGGCCAGCTTGTTTCCAGCATGGGAGCCCCCATTGATCACATTGAAGGCCTGAGAGGAGGAGTGGGTGTTCAGACCTGGGCGAGGGTATGAGGGATCAAGAAGAGCCGGGGAGGAGGGGTCCAGGTGGAATCTTGGCTTCCCTACTTACTAGCTGAGTGACCTAAGGTGAGTAATTTTACTCCTCAGAGCCTCTTTCCTCATTTCTCTCAGGGGAATACCACCTGCTTCCCTGTAGGACCTTATGCTGAAAATTAAAGAAAGTGAATGTAAAGCTCCTAGCATGTGCCTGTACACAACAGTAACTGATATGGCACTTACTACAGGCCAGGCACTGCTCTAAGTGATTCACACATATTCTATTAGCTCATTTCATTCTCTAAACAACCCTATGAACTAGGTACTATTATTATCCCCCCCCAATCTGCAAGTGAGAAAACAGGCATACAGAAGTTAAATAACTTGCCTAAGATCACACAGCTCACACACAGGCAAAGCCAAGATTCGAACCCAGCAGTTTTATCTCCACAGCTCATGTTCTTATACAATCTGCCTAGTAACAATAAAAATTGCAACTTTTTATTTTACCTTTTTTTTTAAAAAAATAGCTTTTATGGTATGAAGTTGTTCATAGTTCAGGCTTTGTCTATAACATTTTTATTGACATTAAATTCAAAGGGTTTCCATAAAGAGGAAATCTGAGCTTACAAGGATTAAAGAAGACACAAAGAAATGCCAAGATCCTTGCCATAAAGCAGCTCTCTATCTGATTTGGGGGTTGGGGTAGGAAGCAAAATAAGAAGCTGCAGTTATTGAGCCTCAGATTGGAATGTGAAGGAACTGGGTTACCTGAGGGGGAAGAAGCAGAGAGGCTTAAGGGAAGGTTTGGATTGTGGGAGAGAAGGGAGGGGGAGGGGGGCCGGACTGAGCAGGAGAGGCTCCATTCCAGGAAACTGTTTCTTTGGAGCTGGGTCTGGAAGGTGAACACTCCAGGGGCTGCTTATAAATTTTTTGCTGGATGAGGCAACTCTGTCACTGTGGGATCTGGGGGGGCATCTGCACTCACAGGCACGGGGAGGACCAGGTCCGGGTTCCCAGCAAGATCTGCAATATGTCGGTAGAGCGGGACCCCCTTCTCGGCTGCTCCAGCCTTGCACACAGCTAGCGACACTCCCAGGATGGCATTGGCTCCAAACTTGGCTGGAGGAAGCAAGCACAAAGAAAGGGTGAGAGCTTCTCCCCAGTGTTTGGGGTCATCTCAAAGGGGAATGTGTCAGCTTCACACTGTGTCCACAGCCATCAGGAAATGCCTGAGGAATGAATAAAAGTCCATCCAGCTACGATGTGCCCCCCAAAGTGGGACACAGTAATAATCCTAACCAGACATTAGCCCCACGGTCTCTCCCCCTCTGTCCCGCATCCCATCCCTTCACTCACATTTATTCTCAGTCCCATCCAGCTCAATCATAAATTTGTCAATTTTTTCTTGATCCACGACGCTTAGTTTCTGGAAGAGCAGGTTTGAGGAGGGGAGAGCAGAAGTCAGATTTCTAAAGAGCCACGGCATGTGCAGAAGGAAGAAGTGCAGGTATTTGGAGAGACGAACCATTGGCCCCTCCCAGGCAGGGGGTGGTGGGGGGTAGGAGGAATAAGCTCTCCCCACTTGCCTTTTCCAGCAGAGCAGGACCCAGAGTCTTGTTGATGTGTTCCACAGCCTTCAAGACGCCTAGAGGCCAGAGGAGGGGGTTCAGATCTGATTCAATCAGGTCTCTTCCCGTGGACCCCAGCTCCTCAAGAACTTTGGGTTCCAGGCCTTTACTCCAAGCAGATATTGGGGGGAGGGGGTGTCCACGTCCTGAAACCACCCCTCACAGGCTCTTCAAGTGTTGGTCTTTCCTCACCTTTGCCCAGGTAGCGAGATTTGTCTCCATCTCTTAGCTCCAGAGCTTCATAGATACCTGTGGAAGCTCCGCTGGGCACAGCTGCTCGGAATCGGCCTGGGGTGAGAGGAATTGGAAGATCACAGGCCCATCCACCCCCAAAGGGCCGAGGCCTCCTCTCTGAGCCTAGGGTGGAGGCCATGCAGACAGCAGACAGACTAGGGCTTCTCCCAGCAGGGGAGCCAGGTTGGAAGAGGAAGGCCTGGGAAGAGCTCTGTGGAAGGGGATCTCAGAGAAAGGTGAGGATGTGGGACAGCTGGGGGATAAAGACCAGATGGGGCCAGGGTCTTCCAAGGCAAACCAAGTCACGGGGCCTGTGTTACCTTTGGCTGTGTACAGGTCCACCTCCACAGTGGGGTTGCCCCTGGAGTCCAGGATTTCCCGGGCAAGGATTTTCTGCATGGCCATGGCTGCAGGACAAGGGGTTGAGTGTGGACAGTTGATCCCTTCAGGAACCCCAAATCCTGTGCCCTTTAAGAGTCTTCCCCACCCCAAGAAGGCAGGTGCTGGAGCTAAAAATATCCCACAAAAAGGTCACAGACCAAAGAGGCAGGCACAGCCCCCTCCCCCACTCAGAACAGCTCCTATTCCACCCTCCACCAGTCGCAAGAATCCAGGGGCCTCTCCTTTACAGCTCCAGCGATTCTGATTCCACCACTCCCTGAACCCCTTTACCGCAAACTCAAGCAGTCTGTTCTCCATGGCTTCCTAGCCATCAGCTCTTCTGTCATTATTCTGTTTGTTTTCCCCCCTGCTCTTCAGTCTTCAGATCCTCAGGGGGGCCCACATCCTCCGCCTGGCTGAAGCTCTAGCTACCCTTCTCCATATCTCTGCCTGCCTCTCTTCACATCCTCATTTCCCTATCCATGGCTACCCATCCTGCTTGCTCCAACTCCTCCAGTCTTTTGTAAGCACCCCCAGTCCCAGGAGGGGAAAAAAAGCTGACATTTCCTTCAAGCCAGCACCACCCTCACCCTTTACCACTTCCACCCCCTGGGGCTGAAAGATTCACCAGACCTGAATGTCTTGGCTGGGGCTTGGGGTGAGCTCCGGGTCTAGGTGGCAGCTGGGACAGTGTCAGCTCACCCCCTCTCAGGCTGGGCATTTATCCCCAGCCACCCTGTCCCCCAGCCAGCCCCGCCTCTCTCCCTCTCCATCCTCCCCCTCCGCACCCGGCTGGCAGCCAAGTGCCCACTACAGCCTAAGGCCCCCTTCCCAAAGGTCAATAACTACCCCTCTTTCTCTCTGTTCCCCAGTAAAATGTCCCTACTTTTAATTCTAGCTCTGGGAAAGGGCTTCCGAAGGGGGGGCGGAGGGTCTTCCCCTCCCCAGGACTATATTCCCCTTTTGCAAAGGTTAAAGGGGAACTAGTGCCATTTAGGAAAGGCCAGGAGTAACCTGAGCCCCGCAGGGCTGGGGAGGGGGCCTGGAAGAGGGGCTGCAGGACTGGCAGCCACACATGCCGAGCGCACGTGGCCGGCAGGGGCTGCCGCTCCCCTCGGTGGGGGGAGGAACCGGGGCTCTGGGCCAGCTCTGGAGTCTGAAACGGAAACCCCCTTTCGGAAGGCGAGAGGGTCTCACCTCTTAGGGCCCTCATCGCGGCCTCTCCCCGCAAGCAAGGAAGGCGGGGGAGCGGGAGGGGAGACGCATTTAGACTGGCCCCGGCCCCGGGAGGAAGCGCGGCTGCCCGACAGCGCTGGGGCGGCGCTCATCGCCCAGCGGGAGGCCGTCCGCCAGGAGCCCCTGTCCCCAGCGCCGGCGGGCGGCTCAGGACGCGGTCCCAGCCCGTCCACGTCGAGTCGGGAGTGACAAAATGAATGAACCGGAGGAGGGGCAGCCCCTTAGA